ACTCGGGAAAATTAAAAAAGCGCTCCCCCTCGAATAAGTGACCCCCATCTTCTCCTAAAATTGAAATTAGTACCCCGGGCGCTAACTTGAGTATTTACGGTTCTTTATTGACTTTATTACTTGAGGCCTAATCAGCCACATCAACCCAAGAGTAAATAAAGCTATGTATGTATCTGAAGTCTGACCGTGCTCGCAAAAACATGCCCACAAAAAATCAAGACAGACCAGAGACTCCAGGGACTTTGACCAACCACCTTGCCAGGAGATTGGCCAGTCACGCATCCACATGGCATGTGCCTCTCCAGCAGGGCCCTCTGTCAATACAAAACGCTCAAACAAGACCAACCTTGGCAAAATTCCCAGCCATACTGCAGACAAAATCAAGTCTAGCTAAGTGAAGGTGTCACTAACCTTCTCCCTGCTTTTGACGGCTGGCCGCCAGAACCACTAGCAGATAGGCCATTTTCTGGGTCATGTTATCTACACAGTGTGTATGTACCATACTTAAACATTAAAACTCTCCTAGTTGAAGCCTTTTATAGAGAATACAGTCGAACCTCTCCACAACGGCCACTGTGTAGAGACGTGGCCGTTATGGGGAGGTAAGAGCGTAATATGACACCCATTTTAGCGGAATGCAACATATTTTAAAAAGAGAAATGCCTGTTTTGACATATACATACATAACATCTTTTAAATCATATAAATAAAACAGATACTAAACAAAAACAGAGACCAATTGCAACGACGCGCGGTACGGATCAAGTTTGTGACCATTCACAATAAAAAATGGCCAGGGACTCTATATACACTGTTCGTCAGTCGTTGATTAACTGGCCGTTGTCAAGAGGCTATTTTCAATGGGCAGCTGGGACGTGTTTTAATGGCCTTTGCCCGGCTGTGGAGAGGTGACTGTTGTAGAGAGGTTAACCCCATCCAGACCCCATTTCTCGTTTTTCTCTGCCCAGGCGAAATAGGTCTTCTGTGTGCTTTAATGATGATTAAGATTATTACCGACTTAAGACTATATTACACACATTCTATAGGGAATTCCCAAGAACAACTCGAGGATCTAGACCGTGTAGGAGAAATCGTAGATAAATCAAAGTTCTCTTTGACTGTCTTTTTGTGTACATATCTTCTTGGTCGTTTNCTATAGGGAATTCCCAAGAACAACTCGAGGATCTAGACCGTGTAGGAGAAATCGTAGATAAATCAAAGTTCTCTTTGACTGTCTTTTTGTGTACATATCTTCTTGGTCGTTTTTCAAATTGTCATGTTTTTCTTTGTATGCATAGAATATACATACCGAAGAAGTAAGTCGCTTTGTAACTTTAAAAAACAATACTAGTCATTTTCAAGATACACTTGTCGATTGGAAAAATAAAAACATTTTAGCCACGTTTATGATGAATGTTATTCTATATTTTATTCGCAAGGCTACTGTAGAGAGGGTTAACCCATCCAGGCCCTCTTTATCGTTTAATTTTTCTCCGCCCAGGTGAAATAGGCGTTCTCTGTGTTTTAAAATTAATGGTTATGATTTTTACCGACTTAGGACTATATTACTCACTTTCTATAGGGAATTGCCAAGAACAAGTCGAGGATTTAAACCGTGTAGTAGAAATCGCAGGTAAATCAAAGTTCTTTCTGACTGTCTTTTTGTGTATATATCTTGGACGTTTCTCAAATTGTCAGTTTTTTTTTCTTTGAATACATAAGATATACATACCGAAGAAGCAAGTCACTCTGTAACTTTAAATACAATACTAGTCATATAGTAAATGGTTTGAACCCAGGAGTATCTTTAGTTCGTAGAGTGTGATCGTCCGGGTGGGGGTAGTTCTGAAAAGAACTGTTGTTGGTGACTGACGTTTCGACAACCTGAGCTGAAGTCATATTCAGAGTCAAGTGAATAGTTTTTGTCAGTCGATGATGTTATAAGTCTGGTCCGCTGAACGTGACTGGTCAGTTTAGCCATGATGGTATGGGCTGCAAGACTCGTGTAAAGTTTGTCATCAGTCATTGGTGGGTTTCGATCCATCTATTGTTAGTCAAATTGGTCGGGCTTTGGTCCGTGTATTGTTAAGTCAGTCTGTTAGAAAGCCGTTTGTCGGTTTCGTTTCCGTCACGGATAAGTCGTTTGTAAGGGGCTGGTAGTTGTTGACATCTGTTAAGAGGCGTTTGTTCAAGGTGACGAAGCTTGGCAGTCAGAGCATTTGATCTTGCAAACTGCTCCGATTGCAAGGCTTCCTACATTGGTGAGACTGGCAGAAACCTTAACACAAGACTGACTGAACACAAACGAGCCAAGAGAAATGGTGATGCCAACAATCACATTGTTGTACATCATCAACTGACAAAACCACAACATTGACTGGGACTCTCCTCAGTGCTTAACCTACAGTACAAACTATTTTCAACGACTGACCCTGGAAAGCTGGTACACTAA